GTCACCTCCCCCAGGCAGTCTCTCCTGATCTTGCCTCCCTGCAGAGTCCGGATGGAGTATTTCTCCGTGTTACTTAAAGCCACTGTGGTAGGCATCACCATGTGTCATTAATATCTTCTGAAATGTTTTTTTCCCTTTCCCCCGTAAGAAAGAGCTTTGGAGGGCAGAGACAGTCTCATTTTTTAATGCGAGCCCAGTGAAAGGATGAGGGTCCCCCAAGAATGTAGGGCTGAGGAGGTGGTGCCTGAGACAGAGGCTCAGAGAGGCAGGCATATGAATGGAGCTCCCTGTCTGATAGATAGGGTGTGGGGAGAGGGTTTGGATAGGAATGGGGGATCAGGGTGGGTTGGCTGAAGGTCAATGAGGGGTGGAGAGGAACTCACCATGACCCAGAGGAGGGATGCCCTTGGTATTGGGGTGGTATCTACCCTTGGAGGAACTAGATTCAGTAAATGGGGAGAGGGGGCGGTAAGTTGGTAGGGGTGGGGATGGCAGTGACAGGGAATGGGGCCTCAGTGAGGGGATGGCAAGGGCTTCACACTCTCCCAGGAGACACCTTACTCCTGGTGCCCAAGGTCATCCCCCGTAGGCCCCCTGGGAAGATCCAGCATTCTTTAACTCAGCTGGGAGCTTAGTTTCCAGTGTTTCCCAACCTTCTCTCATGATGAGAATCACCTGGTAGAGTTGTTAAAACACAGATTCCTGAATCCCAACTAAGAAGTGCTAAACTAGAATTTTTGGGAACATATAGGTAAAATTGTATACTTAACTAGTGCTCTAAGACAGATTTTATATACAGAGCACTAAGTTAGGTATGCAATTTTACCTATATGTTCTCAAAAATTCTAGTTTAGCACTTCTTAGTTGGGATTCAGGAATCTGTGTTTTAACAACTCCACCAGGTGATTCTCATCATGAGAGAAGGTTGGGAAACACTTTAGACCTTCACTTTTTCTCACCTGGGCCCAAATGCATTCTGAATTAATCTGTTTACCTCCCACCTTAAGCCACCTGCCCTCTGTCGGGCAGCTGGACCTGTTGCTCCCCCGATTACCCATGGCTCAAGGCAGGTCAAGTGCAGATTCCTCAGCCTGGTGAGTACAAAGCACCCTGCCCCACCGTCTGACCTCTGCCACTTCCGGAGCATCATCCCCCTAAAACGCTCCCTAGTACCCAGACAGCTGTCCGTGCTCTGTCCTGAGAGCACACCCCTTAGCAGCACAACCCTTCTTTTCAATAGGAAAGATCCTCCATGGATAAAATAGATATGAGCACAGCTGCCCCAGTTAAAACCCTAGAGCTCCCCAGAACCCCTCTTAGAAACCATTTTTCCATCTCTGACTCCTAGCTGTACCCTATTTCCTGAGCAAACAGTCTCTGCCTCCCCTCAAGCCCACACCGGTGCACACGCTGGCCCCTCTGCCTGGAATGCCTTCACCCTCATCCACTCCCCACCCCTTGCCTACAGATCGTCTACTGGTCTCTAAAAACCCAACTCAGAGGTACTGGTTCTGGGCCCTCCCAGCTCTCTACCTTCATCCTGTTGTCGCATGGAGACATGAGATTGAGATTGTCCCCCTTCCTTCCCTTCTCCGGGATTCTTTTCTCTGACTAAGGCCACGCTCCATAGGTTGAGTGTTGGTAGAATGGCACATGGAATGAATGGGCTTCAGTGAGGGAAGGACTAGTGATGGTCAGTGCAAGAGGGGACAAAAGCTCCAGATGGAGGATGGGGCCGTGAGAAAGGACAGAATGAATAGGGGCTTCATGGGGACAGAACTGAACGAAGAGGCCAAGGAATCTGATGGGAGAAAGGTCTCAGTGAGGAGGGGCACTCAATGTGAGGGATGGTGAAGGAATGAGGGCTTCATGAGGGGCAGGAAATGTAGGTGGGAAGGTGGTTAGGAGAGAGTGGGTGCTAGTGAGGGTGAGTAGCAGGAGGCTTGATGTGGGAACATGTCCTCAGTAAGCAGAAGAGGAGAAAGACGCCCTTTGAGGGTTCATAACTCTTGGTTAAAGAATTCTTTGCTCGGCCAGGCGATTTGGCTCAGAAGCTGAACATCAACCTATGAACCAGGAAGTCACAGTTTGATTCCTGGTCAGGGCACATGCCCAGATTGTGGGTTTGATCCCCAGTGTGGGGCATGCAGGAGGCAGCCCATCAATGATTCTCTCTCATCATGATGTTTCTATCTTTCCCTCTTCCTTCCTCTCTGAAATCAATAAAAATATATTAAAAAATAATAATAAAATTAAAGCCCTAACCAGTTTGGCTCATTGGATAGAGTGTTGTTGGCCTGTGGACTGAAGGGTCCCAGGTTTGATTCTGGTCAAGGGCATGTACCTTGGTTGAGGGCACATCCCCAGTAGGGGGTGTGCAGGAGGCAGCTGATCAATGTTTCTAACTATCTCTCTCTCTTCCTCTCTGTAAAAAAAATCAATAAAATATATTTAAAATATTTTAATTAAATTAAAAAGCTTTAAAAAAATTATTTGCTCAACTTCTGCCCCTCAATGCAGGGAGGTCATCACTCATAACCGAAATCAGCCATTTTTGGGCTCAAAACTGTGTGTGACTTTGGATCAGAATTATATTGGTTGGCTTCTGGGGCCCTATCGACACTTAGTGACAGGATGCTGGACAGAGCCAACAGATTTGAGGCTCATATTCATAGTAAGCCTGCCTCTGCCCCGAAGGCTGCCCAGGGCCCTTCCACATGGTCAGGAGGCCAGAGAAGCCAACACAATTGTCTGGCTCCTCTCTCTTTTCTCCACCACTTCCCTGGACACCCGGGCAAAATGGTCTACACTTTAAGTAACAATCACGTGCCCCCTAAGTCAACAGATAGTTTGATATTTCACAAAGGATTCACTGCCTGTACACATATATCATCTCATGCAAGCCTCACTATATCCCTATACGCACTTGTAGCTTAAAGGTTATTCTCTAAGCCACATGTGTCAAACACAAGGCCCGCGGGCCAAATCCGTCCCGCCAGGCCTTGCAATGTGGCCCGCACCGCGCTGTCATCACTGCACTCCGCTGCGTTTCCATCACAATGACAGTTTATGACTGTTCAGTAAACCATTCGGCCCGCGATTTAGGCTGGATTTTAGATTTTGGCCCCTTCTCTGATTGAGTTCGACACCCCTACAAGCAGTTCTGCCCAGCAGCACGCACACTCATCTCTCTCCGAGCTCGTCCCTCTTAGACTCTCACTGCACCCCAAGTTTTTCCCCTCACCTTACCCCATTCTCTGATCTCCCTAACAAGGATGTCTGTCACACACCACTTGGTAATAAAAACTGGGTTACTGCTGCCGAGGCTGTGGGATGTGATATATCAAAAGCGTCATAACTGCTGTATTCGATCGGTCATGGCTGGGGCCACGCCCTTTCTGATGGCCAGGCCAGTGCTTTTTTTTTTTTTTTAGTACAATGTTTAGAACAACAAGTCTGGCCTCTGATGTAGGTGGGTGTGTGGCTCTGCACATGTGAGGGACAGTGTGATCACCAGTGCACATCACACGAGCATGAATGGCTCCATTCATGCTCTTTCGCTCATCTTGGAAATGGAGGAGATATTATAAACCGCTAAACGGCATCTGGCCCGTGGAGTCCAAAATGCTGGCTGCGACAGATGAGAAGGGAGGGAAAATCAAGGTTTCAATGCTAATTAAACCTAACCGTCTCTAATTGTTTGTTAAGCCAGGGATTTTCAGCTTCACCAGTTCTCGGAGCTTCTGTCCTGGGCTGGGTTCTGCCCTTGGCTGCTCCCATCGACATTCAACCCAACTCCTCTGCCTTTTGACCTTTGCTGGCAGCCTGGGTCTCCGGGCCTCAAAAGGGAAGCCAGAAGTGGCTGGGCCAGGCTTCGGAGGAGCTGCCTGCCCGTGAGTGTGACCTCTCTGATGGGGATGTTGAAAGACAGGCCTTGGGGTCGAGCCTCAGGTCTGCCACACAGGCCTCCACCTCACTCCTGACACATCTCTCACATGCAGCGGCCACACCGACGGGCTGGTACGGAGCCCCCATCACTGGAAACATTAGGCAGAGGTTAGAGGACCTGCTCTTGGAAGAGCCTAGAATGGGGCTCTGAGGGACTCTGTGAGGGACAGCGAGGGCAGCGTGGACAAGTGCAACTTGAACTCTGTCGAGCTCTGTTTTCAAGAAGACTGGGCTCACAGGAAGTAGGTATGTGACAGTCCTTAGGACTGTCATCTCTTCCCTTCTCCTAGCCTCAGTTTCTCCATCTGTACAATGATGGTTTTATTTTATTTTGAGAACCATTTCTTCCAATGATATCGTATGTGGGATCTTACAGGAAGGAGGGAAAAGCAAAGTTGCTCTGGTTGGAAGGGTGATAGGGCCTGACTCCTGCCCACTCACCTCCCCTTCCCAGTGCAACTCAGAGACTCCCCCTGGGCAGGGTTCAACACCTGCCATAGGAGTGGACAGTCTCGTGAGCTCCCAGCTCCATCGTGCTTGCCCCATGATCTGGGCAGGGAAGGCTGCTGCCTACCACCAGGTGGGCAGAACTCCTGGCCCAAAGGGGTGGAGGCTGCACTTCAGCCACCATGAAAGAAAGGGCCCTGAAGTGTCGGTGAGGAGGGAACCAAGCATCCTGGAGCAGAGGGACGGGGTTGGGGGTGGGGGTGGGAGGGTCATCTCCATGGATACCTCACAGAGCTGGTGTTACGATGTCCGAGGGCATAATCCACACACTGGATCGTCCCAAGAGAGGGGTTAATCTAGAAAGCAGAGTCTACAAATGGGGAAATAGACAAAGGGCGTGGTCTACAGAGTGCACAGTCTCAACAAATAAATCCGCACACTGGATAATCCACAAACAGAATAATCTATCAAGTACTCCACACACATACAAATCGGCAATAGTCATCACAGAATAAAGCCACCGAAGGCCCTCTAGCCCCCCAAGGAGCCCCCTACCATGCCCCTCGTTCCAAGGCCCTCCATGGCCCAGCCCCGCCATTACTCACTCCGCCTCTGTCTCTTCCCCTTGGTCCCCCGGCTGCCAGCAGCGATATGCATCCAGCTCAGAATGAGGGCCACCACACACAGCCCAAGCCGCATAGTCACTCGCCAGCTCCAGGCCCCTGGCAGGAGGGGTGGTCTTTGGGGTGATGGATGGCGCAGGGCTCTCGCTAACGCCTCCCGGGCTGGGTCAGCAGCAGGAGGCCCAGGCCTGGGCCGTGTCCCAATTCCACCATGATTTCAGCTGAGGAGTCCACTTCTTTGTCAGTCTGTAAGGTGGTCCAGAGAGCTTTCCTCAAAGGCACTCGGCAGGGACACTTCCAAAACCCAACCTGTTGGGGGAGGAGAGAGAAGGATTAATTCTGAGGGGCCAGGAGGGCGCCCCCCCCAAATTTATGCCTCCTATCATCCTGTCAAGGAGACTATGAGAAGTCAGAATGTTTGGACATTATAAGTTGCCCACCCGGCACCCCTATAGAAGAAATCTGCTCCCTTTCCTGTGTTGCAAAATTCCCTGGGACTAGAGCTGGCTACTCAAGCAGCTGGCATGCAGTGGATCCTCAAACCAAGCTTGTGGGTCACTGGGAACCAGTTGGCCCCACCCCTGCCCAGTACTGGCCAGCTCTGACAGAAAGCCTTTCGGTCTACTCTACAGACCTCATGCTGCACGCAGTTACATCGTGTCTCTTGAAGATGAGCTCTCTGTCCTTCTGTGAGCGACCCCTCAACTTTCCTTTCCTGGTGTCGAGTCACCCCTGTGCCTTTCACCTGTCCTGGAGCTAGAACAGTGGCCCCGACAAGCCAGCAGAGCCTGCGTGGCCCTCTGGGCTTGGCGAGAGGAAAGGAAGGAAGGCTTCCCCAGGCCACAGAAACTCTGACACAGCAGGCCTGGCGGGCCTGGCCTTTGTGAGAGGATAAAAGAGGCAGCTATGCCCGCCCTGGTCAGAGACCCAGAGAATGGGGATAATCCCCAGCCCAGTAAGAGCCAGGTCTCCGGACTGCTGGCTGGTGATGGGGGCAGGGAGAGCCGGTCCCTCCCCAATCAAATGTGTCTGGGAAGTTGGAGCCCAACCTGGGAGTCAGAGGGTGAAACCCCGCTGCACACTCACAGGAACACGTGCTCCCCACACACAGCAGAGGCCAGCCCATGCGTTGCCCCACTCCCACCCACACCCACACACTCACACGGGGACAGGAGGAAACAGCGAGCTTCCAGGATGCTTTGTAGATGCCAGGGAAGTATCACCCTCCCATCCACGGGTGAGAGCTCTTTGGACAAGTCACAGCCTCTCTGAACCTCAGTCTCCTCATCTATAAAATGGGGACAGATATGCCTATTTCACAGGCTTGCTCTGAGAGTTGGCTAAGTTTGGGTTTACAGATGAGAAATCTGTATTGCTGAAGTGGGGGTGCCCCTCACGATCCCTGTCCCAATCCTCTCCCCCTTGGCCTCTCAGGAGGCCCCAGGAGAGCCCACCTGCATGGGAGATAAATCATTATCCCACAGGGGAGCTTAGCACCTCCCTCCGCAGCCTCTCCCACCAGCTTTGAAGGCCAGACACACTCAAGTGGTTAAGCTGCCTGTGAGAAGTGTTTACACAAGGCTGATGGATCCCACCTGGCGCGAGGGCCAGCCACCCCCAATGCCTGTCAGCTGCCAGCCCCTACCTGCCCCTCCAGCATGCCCTGCACGACCTGCTAAAGCCTTCCCACCCTCCCCAGCCCCCACTGCACATTTCCATCCCCTTCAGTGTATCAAACTGGGATCTTCAGTGCCAAGTATATGGTCTCAGAGGTTGGCCATAGAGCATGATGGTCAAGGGCATAAACTTCAGAGTCAGACTGCCTGGTTTCAAATGTTGGCTCTCCTACTTATTAGCTATTCTTGGGCTAGTTGATTTAACTGGCCTGGGCCTCAATTTCCTTATTTGCAAGAGGGTTGTTGTTGTGTGTGTGTGTGATATATATATATATATATATATATATATATATATATATATATATATATATATATATATATATATATTATTTCAGAGAGGAAAGGAGAGGGAGAGAGAGAGATAGAAACATCAATGATGAGAGACAGCCATCTCCTGCCCGACCCCTACTGGGGATTGAGCCCGAAACTCAAAACTCAGGCACGTGCCCTTGACCAGGATCGAATCTGAAATCCTTCAGTCTGAAGGCTGATGCTCTATCCACTGAGCCAAACTGGCAAGGGAAGTTGTTTTTTATAGCTTAAATGAGTTAATACATGCAACTGCTTAGAATGGTGCCTGGCACATAGGGAAGACAATAATATTTGTTGTGTTTTCTATGACCAAGACTTTATTTCGTGCCTACATTCCAATGGTCATCTAAGAAGTAATATAAACAGTTTTGTATCCTCTAGATACGTATCTTAACAGAGCCCTGTTATGCAATTTCCATATTTGTATTTTTCTTTATCATTGATCGCCTTGGCCCCAAAGTGATCACTCAAAGTGACAGGGTTAACCTATAGTGGCAGCATTTTTCAAACTGAGGTCTGAGGACCCCAGGCAGATGCACTGGGCAGACCCTGGAGGAGAAAGAAGACCACACCAGACACACCTGGTGGTAAACCCTGGGTCTGGGAGCCCTTCTCTGGTCTCACTGTGGGGTCAGGACTCCTGGGGTCTGGGCGCAGGAAAGGCCTCCTCTGACTCTCTGAATCCCCTCTGTCTGCCTAGCACAAAACCTGGCACTCCAGGGTCAGTGCTCAGCAAAGGTTAGCTCCCTTCCTCTCCTTCCCTCTACATTCTACCCCCACCTCCAATCTCCCAGGTCTTAGCTGCAGCCCATCTTGCCATGCTCACCCAGTCCTGGCCAGTGAGGACCTTATGGTCTATTTCCACCTGAATCACCATCAAACCAGGATCTCAGCTGGGAAGTAGGGAGGAAGATCGAGATCAGAATTTCTCTGGAGCAAGGGATACCGGCCTCTGCCACCCATCACTAGATAGGCAGAAATAACCACTCAATATTGCCTGGACTTCTGACTTTTTTAAAAGTTGAAAATTCAGAACTTTAGGTAAAATCTGATTTAAATAACTGGGTAGGTCTCAGACTAGGAACCCTGCAACACCCACCCCCTACACACTTGCAATGGACACACACACACACAACCATTGGTGTGTCCACCAATGAGGACAGACTGAGAGAGGAGGTAGGAGCTGATAACTTCCTTTTAAGTAGCCCGCCAGCCTCATTTCTATTAGTTGCTCTGTCTGATTTCCCTGGTCCTTTGGACTACAGGGCACAAGCGGTTTGTTTCTTTGAGGACCATGACTCTGTGTGGCAGAGCCAGCAGTGGGACCTGTTGGCAGTGATCAGGGTCTCAGACATCTTGGGGTGAGGAGGGGCATTTTGTGTTCGCCAGGGTGTGGGTGAGGGGTCCACACTCAGCACCTGCCGCGTGCTAGGTCCTCATTTACTCCTGGGGAGGAAAGTAAGAGCCTCCCCATTTCCCTGGCGCCAAGAGGTTAAGGGTCTTGTTGGTGACCACCTCCTCAGTGACCAGCCGGTTTGCTATCTAGACGGGGGAGCTGGAGGGTGAGGCAAGAGGCTGGGAGCTGGGGCAGGGGGTTATGACCCAGCCTGGGGAAGGTGGTGGGAAGGGCTAGAGGCAGAGGCAGACCTGGGGCAGGAGACAGAGGAGAGAAGATGCACGTGCCAGGTGGTCTTGTGGTCCAGGAAGAGGACGACGCGAGCTAGGGAGGGGGACGTAGCTGGGGGTGGAGCTGAGGGCGGGGACTCGTCCCACCGCCCCAGTGAGGGCTCAAATACCCTTCACCTTCTTGCCTGCAACACCATCAGGATAGCTTAGTATTCCATCCGGGGCGGACACAGACCCAAAAATGTAAACCATCCACATCATTTCTCATCAGCCCTCCCCGAGACCCGCTGCGGGTGCAGGGTTTTGGCCGCGGAGTGGGCTGGCGGGTGGAGGCCGAAGAATTGCGGGGCAGCGGAAGGAACCAAGGGCGTGCCTGTGGGACCCGTGGGGATGGGAGTGCCCCCACCCCCGGCTAAGTCAGGCAGGTCCTGACTGTCCCCCACTCGCCCCCCAAAACGGAGAGCAGCAGGGAAGGCTGCTTCTCATCCCTTCATCTCCTCTCCAAGCGTGTAAATCTCTCTCTCTCTCTCTCTCTCTCTCTCTCTCTCTCTCTCTCTCTCTCACACACACACACACACACACACACACACACACACACACACACCATACGCCCCTCCATCACCCCGGAGAGCCCCGACAGGTGCAGGGGGAGGAGAGGCAGACCTGAGGTCCCCTGGCTGCCCCTCAAAACCCAAGAGCACTCTCCACGCCCCGAGAGGCCAGTTCCTTCAGAAAACTCCTGCAGCCGAATGCTCGCACTCACAACCCGGGAGCCCAGGGCAAACGTACAACCTCCCTCTCCCCAGCCAAGCAATGCCCTGCGACCCTCGGCGACCTGCCCCGCAGGCCACTGCGCCGCGCCACCCTGCAGTGCGAGGGGGCGGCCACGCAAGCCCCTGCCACGTCGGACCCGGGCCGAGCTGCGCGGCTGGGGTGGGGTGACCCAGGACCATAGGATCGGAGGAATCGCGGTGCCGAGACCACGACCCAAAGCCTCTGGATGGGGGTGATGTGGATAGGGCTGGCGGACGTGGGGCGCTCAGAACCACCAGAGCAGACGGCCATCGGGGCTGCGGGATGGAGGGGAACCGAAGCAGCAACTGGGAGGGGGCTGCCCACTGGCCCAAGGGGTGACCCGGGGGGCGAGGGGCGGCAGGACTTGCAGGAGGGGCTCCCAGCGGCGCCTCTTCCGCCCTCGCCGACCAGAGAGCCGCCAGAAGTCCTCTCCCTCTCGCCGTCCGCCCCCCAGCTCTGCTCGCCTGCGCCCCGACGGGAGAGCCCGCGGCGCCCAGACCCCGGGGAAGCGGCGCCGGGAAGGAGCTCCGGGCAGCTCAGGGGGACTCACCTCCGCGCCGCCAGCCCGACGGGAGCAGACCCGGGAGGGGCGAGGGCGCGCCCGTCCGCCCGCCGCCGCCGCTCGACTGTCCCGGGCTCCCGCGCGCTCCGCCCGCCGGCTCCCCGGTTGCTCAATCCCCGAGCGGCTCACGCCCTCCGGGGCCCGCGCCCCACCCGGCGCATCGGTCCCCCGGGCGGCCCGCTCCGGCCTCGCTCTCCCCGGCGCCCCGCGCGGCGGTCCGCTCCCCGCTCCCCGCCCCGGCCCGCGCGCTCCCCGTCGCGCCTCCCCGGCCGCAGCTCCCAGCCGGGAGAGGGGCCAGTCCTCCGCTCGCACGAGGGAGGGAATCCCCCCCTTGGCCGTCCCACCCCCGAACCGGCCCCCCTTCCCGGGATCCGCGGGAAAAAACGGACTGGAGCGCCGGGCCCGGGAGGGAGTCCGGAGCCCCTCCCGCGCGCCCTCGCCCGCAGCTGGGGCGCAGGGCTGGCAGCCGCGCGCGCGCGCTCCGGACCCTGGCGCACACCCCCTGCCCTCGCTCCTCCCGCACTTCGGCCCTGCACCCCGGGGGTTCCACCCGCCAGAGCAGGGGCTGCAGTTCCAGGCTGCATCCTGGGGGCAGAACAGGGCCGAGGAGCCTCTGGAAAAAACTCAGTTTCCCCATCCTTGGGGAAGTGACAAGGAACCGGCGCAACAGGGTCTGTCGCCCTGGCCACGCCCTCCTCCTCTCGGGGGTCAGGTGTTCAAGGGCATCTTCTTCCCAGTTCAGAGAAAAACACGGGGCTCTAGGATCCCTAGAACCCCGGGGAGGACACTTCCACACGAAACTGGTGCAGGAGAGGGAGGGAGACTTGGAAGGAAAATCTAAACTCAAACCCCTGCTCCATGCTTTACCAGCTGTGTGGCCGTGCTGAAGTTACTCAACCTCTCGGAGCCTCAGGGTTGCCATCTGTTTTGAGAGGTCCAAGAAACCAAGGCTTCGGCTGCCTGTCAATGGCGGGGGCTCTTTAAATGTGTGTGAATGAGTCCTGAAGGGCTGCAGACACCTGCTGGTGGTGATGGTGTTGAAGCCAAGCCTGAAGAAGGGAGGCAGGTGAGACTCGCTCGCAGGGTGGCTCCCAGCTGCTCTCCAGCTTCGCTTTGGGTAAAGGAAAATGGGCTGAAACTGCCGGGAGCAGGAGGGAGTTAGAGCAGAAAAGCTACACTAATGGTGGGGGTGGAGTGGGGGGTGGGTAATGAAGACAGGTTGTGGAATCTCCTTCCCAGGAGAGGAGTGGGCAACCCTGGCGCCTAGGAAAAGTGCCCAGTGTCTTTTACAGCGACAGGGGAACCGAGGGAGGGACCCCTCGGGTGTCCGGATGGCCAGGGAACCGGGATGGTGGATGGCCAGAGAAAGTGGAGCACTGGAGCCCCAAATGCCCCACGTCTGGGCTCCGTTAGCCAGAGCGTTGCCAAGTTTGCAGGAGGCAAACAGCCACTTCCGAGTTGGTCCTGGGCCCCCTCCAGCCCCCTCTCCTGCCCCTCCCCGCTCCCCTCTGCCCTGAGCCTTCCCTATGTCTCACTGGCCCTTGGCTCTGCTCCTTGCCTAATCAAACAGCCCCAAATGCTGAAAACTCAATGTTTATTTTATTTTATTTTTTTGCACACTTGCATAACTCCCCGACAAGCCACGCCAGGCGTTGGGCTTTTTGTTTGGTTTTATTTTGTTGCATTCAGGGGGGAAAAAAGAGAGAGAGAAAGAGAAGAGAAGGATAACACAAACCACCCAGCCCTAGGAGCCGGCTTAGGCCAGGCAGTGGGCTCGGGTTTCCTGCCGGAGGAAAAAGTCTGTGGGAGTTGGGGTGGGGGCGGAGGGCGCACCACGAGGCTCAGGAATGAGTGAGAAAGGGAAGAAAGCCACCTGGATCCGAGAAGATAATGAATTAGAACCATGTGACAACCATGGAGGACGAATAAAGAGCATTTCTTGTGCACCTAATACATGCCAGGCACCGTGCTTGCATATAGAATGTTACCTAATTTTGCAACTATTTTTCCTTCTTTCTCCTTTCCTCTTTTTCTTATAAATGGGAATTCTGAGCCTCAGAGAGGTCAAGTAATTTGCTCAGAAACACGTGACCGGAAAGTGGCTAGCCCAGTTCCCATCTCGCCGAATGACTTGTCCTGTCCCCGAGAGAGCGATGCTGCCCTTGGTTTGTATGGCTGTTCGTTCCGCCTAGAAATGTTGTTTTCCTCGGACCCTTCTCTCATCCTCCTTCCAAATGCCCCCGGGAAGTGTCCTCCAGCCACCTAGCGCATCAGCCTCTGGGCCTTATGGAGACTGTACATCACTCACCACTGGCCTGCGATCATCCCTCCCACAACACAGTGAGCCCCTGAAAGGCAAGGGCTGTATCTGATGTATCCATACGATCCCAGCACCAGCGACATACTTACATGATGTCAGGACTGGACCTTCTGTAAGTCCTTCAAGCTTATTCAGATGATGTTCCAAGTCACTCTTACTATCACCCAGGACAAGGTCATCATTCTCATTAGAACAGAGGATGGTGGACCAGACCAGGGCAGTAGCTCCCAGAGATCATTTAAGTTTGTAGACTTACTGTCTTCCCTTACCAGGCACACACTATTCTACCACGGGCACTGTCCGTGTATCAGTGTACGTGCAGCTAAGTAATAGAGGACCAGCTCAAATGAGCTTAGATAGCAGGGTGGTTTATGAGCTCCTATACTGAAAAGGGCTGATCCAAAAGTAGGAATGATCCAAAAGTTCTGCAACCACATCAGATTCTTTCCTGTATTTTTATCCTATTGTCTCAGTGTACTGGCTACTACCCTTGAGATCCCGTGATGATTGCCGAGGGTCCAGGCAGTACATCTTTACCAACCGGGTCCAACAACAAGCCCAGCTGTCCCTTTTAAAGAGTTAACTGCACTTTAAAATGGTTACAGTGGTAAATTTTGTGTTGTGTATATTTTACCATAATTTTAAAAAAGTTTAAGGAGCTACCTGGATTATATACCCACCAATGAAGCCATCACAGACAAGAGGGATGATGCCACCAAGATTGGCTTAGACCAATCAGCATTCACCTGCATTGTGTAGGAAAGGGTGTTCACAGGCAAAAGAAGGGGAGATAGGCTTTGGGGTAGGCAACCAACAGTGTTTGTGGTCATCACTGTTACCCAAAGGATAGCTGACTTCGTTATTGTCCATTTCCTGCGAACCTTCTGCAAACCTCCGTCTCCATGGCCCGTTGGTCGCTGAGGTCTAACGGTAGTCTCTCTTGTAGAGGCAATATAGGATAGTTGGTAAGTGCATGGACACTAGAACTAGCCCTGCGTTCAACACCCATCTCTACCACTGGCAATGTCCTCGGGCAAGTCTTCGCCTCAGTTTCCTCATCTGTAAACCAGACATGGTCACAATACCCACCCACCACAGTTCTCATAAGGGTAACACAGGCCAAGCATTTACAAAGCTTACACAGCCCTGGCTGCTTTGGCTCAGTGGACTGAAGAGTCCCAGGTTCAATTCCAGTCAAGGGCATGTATCTTGGTTGAGGGCATGTCCTCAGTGGGGGATGTGCAGGAGGCAGCTGATCGATGATTCTAACTTTGCTATAACTTTGTCCTTTCATTCATTAACTATTAGTGCTACTGTATCCCAAGGAGCAGGCTGGCAATGGAGGAAAGAGAAATGAACATCCCCGTGGTCTGTTTTCCTAGGGCACTCTTGGGTCTAGTGGGAGAGGAGATTTGGGAGACAAGGTAGAGGAGGCAGAGACGCGCAAAGGAAGGGGCGATCCTTGAGGGAGTCAGAGCAGCTTCTCCAAGGAGAAGACGCTTGAAAGACTTGGCGTTTTCCAGGCACGAGCGATGAAAAGCCATTCCAGGCACAGGGGGTGATGTGCAAAGGCCCAGAGGACACAGCATGGGAGCCTTAGAGCTAGAAGCAGCTCTGGTTTGTGGGGACTTAAAGTGACAGGTGGGAAGAGGGCAGCAGCTGAGATCCTTCCAGAAGGCCTCAGACACCAGGCTAAAGAGCAGGGACTTTACCCAGAGGGTCGTGGGCAACCTGCTGGGGGTGATGAGGTGGGTGAGAGTCAGGGTTGGAGTTGTGCTTTAGAAGGAGTGCCTGGCAGCTTTGGCGAAGGCTGAATTTGATGGGGAGAGAATGAAGGGGGTGGGGAGCCCCAGTGAGAGAGGGTAAGGGGGTCATTTGCAAGAACACTGCTCTTCCCCTTTCCTCTCTCAGTCTCCCTTCCAGAGGCCCAGCTGGGAACCCACTGCACCCTAAACACCCTCCCAGCTTCTCCACCTTGTGTGACCCAAGGAGCTTGAGCTTCTCTAGCACACACGTGGGGAGTAGCCCTCACCTGGAAACCGCTCATTCTCCCACTAGAGGAGTGAGCACCGTTCCCCCTCACCCTCCCTCGGTGGTCCTCCCTTCACCATCCTGCTGACACCTCCCTCCTCTTCTCACCTTGGGGCTTTGGGACCTGCCAGGTGGCCTTGGGTACTTCCTTCGCTCCCACCGGACCTTGACATCCATCGCTCTTCTCCATCGTGGGCTCCAGCATCAGCCTGGGGACCTCATTCTCCATCCAGAGCCACTCCCAGCGCCGCTGATATTCCCATCCACTCAGCCTTCCAATCACATGGCCTTGGCCTCACCCAAAGTGCTCCATCCCTGAATTCATAGACTCTAAGATCTCCCCTCCCCCCAGATCTCAGACCCCACAGATGCCCACCAGGACTTCCTTTTGCTCCCAGCCTCTTGCTCTCTTCCTCCCAATTCAGATTCTTGACATTTCGATCACTCGATAATGATTTCCACACTGGCCTTTCCTCAACATCTCAACCACCCTGCCAACCCTCTGCCTCTTCCTGCTGAGTTCTGCAAGAGAATCCTCCAGCTACCTGGGCCAGTGCCACCGCGGATTCACAGCCAGCCTCCACTGGGCCCTCCGCCACTGGTGTTGATCCCTCAAGCCACCCAGGGCCCCACCCTCCTCAAGACAGCTGAGACGGCCAAGAGTGACTCCTTCAATTTCCTGCCCCTAGAACCAAACTCGTGATCCCTCCTCAGAACCTCTTTCTCCCCAGATTTCCCCCTTCGTGGTAAACAGCAATGAACCTGATAAACAGGAAACTGGGAGTTGTTTTTAATTCTTCCCCCTCTCACCTCCCACATCCACTCCATTGGCAAATTCTGTGGGACCTACCTCCAGACCATTTCGCAAACCCATCTACTGCTCACCTCACCGCTCCTGCTGTAACCATCTCCCTTGCTTACCTGGGCCATGGCAAGAGTCAATA